ATCTGCTACAGGAACATCTGCATCATCTCCTACAGGAACATCTCCTACAGGAACATCTGCATCATCTCCTACAGGAACATCTGCATCATCTCCTACAGGAACATCTCCTACAGGAACATCTGCATCATCTCCTACAGGAACATCTCCTACAGGAACATCTGCATCATCTGTTACAGGAACATCTGCATCATCTGCTACAGGAACATCTGCATCATCTGCTACAGGAACATCTGCATCATCTGCTACAGGAACATCTGCATCATCTCCTACAGGAACATCTGCATCATCTCCTACATGAACATCTGCATCATCTCCTACATGATCATCTACATCATCTGCTACAGGAACATCTGCATCATCTCCTACAGGAACATCTGCATCATCTCCTACAGGAACATCTGCATCATCTCCTACAGGAACATCTGCATCATCTCCTACAGGAACATCTGCATCATCTCCTACAGGAACATCTGCATCATCTCCTACAGGAACATCTGCATCATCTCCTACAGGAACATCTCCTACAGGAACATCTGCATCATCTCCTACAGGAACATCTAAAGAAACATCTGCATCATCTCCTACAGGAACATCTGTATCATCCCTTCGTTCTGAACAGGTCACATTGATCTTCTCGGCTGTGATGAGGTCAAACTGGCTGCAGGTTCAGTCTCTCAGCACTCAGACCTGCAGGATCTCAGAAACCCTGCAGGTCTGGCTCCTGTCTTCAGGGCACGACTCAGTTTGAAACTCTGGGAACTGCTCTGAAAGCTCTAACATGAAGCAGCTGTGAGGCAGGGGGAGGGGCCCAACCAGCCCCCACTCTAGGTGATGCTGCCTGACTGGTCAGAGCTGCTGGTTCCCAGTAGCCATGTCTCCATCAGTGACTGACAGGTGTGCACAGTGGGTTGGGTTTAGGACCAATGTGTGAATTAAGTTTAGATTAGTTTTAGGGTAAATGCTCAGGGTTAGGATGTAAAATATTTTTAAAAAATGAATGGAAGTCAATGGAAAGTCCTCACAAGGATACAGAGACACAGTAGGCGTGTGTGTGTGTGTCTCAGTGACAGCTGACAGCGGATGAAGCCTCTGAAAGCTCCAGAGATGCAGCGAGCGGTCAGGACATTACTCAGCAACAACAAACAGCTCCTGCAGATAAGGCCTCGTTTGTCACAGCAGCTCTGCTGACAAACAGCAGTGCATTGTGGGATAAAATTAACCGCCTCCCCTGAGTGACGCTGCCAGGGCCGAGGCTCCTCGGGAGGAAACCTGCCGGGGAATCTCCATCTGACAAACTTCATCATGAAGCTGCAGCTTTGGGAGGAAAAATAAATCATTTTAGATGAAATATTGGAATATTGACTGGTTAAAACTGGTTAAAACTGGTTAACAAGTCTTTGTTTCATTTATAAACTGCATTAAAGTGTAAAAGAGGCGAATATATGAAGAATTCTGTGATAAAATCTCAAAAAATCCTTAAAACTTCAAACGTGATTCTGCAAGAACTGCATAGAATCTAAATTTACTGAATAAAAAAACTAAACGAAGCCTTTAATAAACTTTAATAAACTTTGATAAACTTTAATAAGCTTTCATAAACTTTAACAAGCTTTAATAAACTTTATTAAAGCTTTAATAAACTGTAATAAACTTTAATAAGCTTTAATAAACTTTATTAAAGCTTTAATAAACTGTAATAAACTTTAATAAGCTTTAATAAACTT